TTGTTTTTTTTTTTTTCAACCTTTTCTTTTCCTTTTTAATGACGCCTTTTTTATTTTTTTCCTTTTTTTTTTTTTTTTTTTTTTTTTTTTTTGTGACCGGTAAGGGAACGGTGTGGTCCGCACCACACTCAGCCAGTGAGCACACCAGCCATCCCTATATAGGATCTGAACCCGCGGCCTTGGCGCTAGTAGCGCCTCACTCTCCTGAGTGAGCCACAGGGCCGGCCCTGTCCCATTCTTGATTATCTTAACTCAGATCATTTGATTAAGGTGCTCTTTTGTCAGGCTTTTTCACTGCAAAGTTATTTTTACCTTTGCAGTCAATAAATATATTGTTCTTTATCAAACTTCTGATTTTCTCATTCATATTTTTTTATATCGGTATGAACATATCAATTTTGGTGTGTTCAATAAATGTTAATCCATTACTGTCATAATTTATTTTGATGTTCAGCTCATTCCAGATATATCCTGGGGCAGCCTCTTCAAGCTAGCTTCTGTGTCCTTATGTTGTGTCCCCACATTATCTCAGCACTTCCTTACTTTCTGGTATGAAAAGATGGCCCAGTCTTATCTCTGTCCCAGCCCTGGAATCAGCCATTTCTGCAAAGCCCTGGTTCTTTTTAGTGGAGGATAGTACTAGAAAACAAAGTTGTAGGGCTGCACTGCTCCTAGGCCCTTTGAGTGGACAGTGCTAATGAGTACATAAATGTATACACATATGTATTTACACATACATATACAAAAGTACGTGTCTTTAAATATATAGTGAAAACCATAAGTTCATACCAGTACTTCTAATTTCAATCCATTACCACAGTATTCATTCTGTATTTGTGTCTCCTTTCCACGTTGACAGAATGAAAACTAGGCCCCATTATCTGTTATTTGATCAGTCCCTTATATGTGCCAATCTCTTGTAACTGCTCCTTTTCCCTAACCAGTGCTCTCTTGTACTACTTGGGCTTCACCTCATGCCATGTTACTCCCCTGTGTGGACACCCTCCTTACCCCACTTGGACTCGCTAACGCCATGTGCCAGGAGGCTCTTCTGCAGGGATGTTCTCACCTCACTTGGAACCTAAGAGACTGTGTCAGGCTGCCGTTGCCTAACACCCCTCTATCCCTAGATGGAAGTCTTTCGCATCCCTTTTGGACTCCTGACACCCTGCACCAGACTGCCCTTCTGCAAGAAAACCCTCTTCACCTAACTTGGGTTTCAACCCCCCAACCTTAGGTGCCCTCTCATACAGTTGTCCTCCTCATCTTGCTTGGGCTCCCAATACCTCACTCTGAGTCACCCTTCCACTTAGATTCCCCTCCTCATCCTCACCCTGCTCAGGTTCCGACACTTCACTCCAGGCTGCCATCCTCACTGCATGCAGGCTCTATTGTCAGGCTACCACCCCATGTAGATACCCTCCTTACTCCAATTGGACTCTGATTTCCCACTCCGGTTTCCTGTTGCATAGACTTCCCGTCTCTTTCTTCAAGCAACCACCCCATGTGGACACCTTCATTACTCCAGTTCAACTCTGATATCCCACTTTGGGCTGCACGCCCACCTTGTTTGGTCTCTAGCTTAAATACCTCCAGTTTGTTCAACTGTCTCCGTCTCTTTCTTCAAGCAACCACCCCATGTGGACACCTTCATTACTCCAGTTCAACTCTGATATCCCACTTCGGGCTGCACGCCCACCTTGTTTGGTCTCTAGCTTAAATACCTCCAGTTTGTTCAACTGTCTCTCATATTATTTCTGGTGGATAGGGTAATAAGACTATGACAGCAGGTGGGCTGTTGGAATGGCCTGACATCAACAACCTGGAGGTAAAACAAGTTTCACAGGTTAGGGACACAGCCCTCCACAAGACTGCCCTCACTTTAGATATCAGCCACAAGTTCAGTGATCTGCAGGCTACACTCACTTCTGACCAGCTGGCTACAAATTTTGGGGTTCCCATTTTTCCCTCATGTTTGATACTTCACTAAAACAACTCACCAAACTCAGGAAAGTGCTATACTTATTATTGCAGTTTTATTACAGCAAAAGGATACAAATCAGAACGAGCCAAAAGAAGCGATGCATAGGGCTGATTTGGGAGGGTCCCAGATGTGAAGCTTTCATTATTTTCTTCATGGAGTCAGGATATGTTGCACCTCCTCCCTTCCCCTGTCCCCACTGATATGTGACAATGTGCACAGTATTGCCAACCAGACTTCAATTTCCAGAGTTTTTATTAATGCTTCATTATGTTGTAGGCATGATTGATCAATCACCCGTGGCTCAGTCTCTAGTCCTTCTCCCCGCACCCCTGGATATTGGGCTTATATAACGGGGCTCAAAGTCCAACTCTCTAATTACATAATTGGTCTTAGTGGTGGGTCTTGCCCCCATCCTGAGTCATCTCCTTAGAATAAAGTATCAAGGCCCACCAAAGATTTAGAGGCTACTTGCCAGAAACTGGAGACAAAGGCTAGCCAGTTCTTTATTCCAAGGGTTTAGAGCTTACCTCCCAACAACGAGGACAAAGGCCAACCAAATTCTTTACTATTCAGCTATGGAAAACTAAATTGCTTTCCTCTATGGTATACAGATTAATTGTTCGCTCTAAAATATATACTTTGAGATTTCCTAAGATATTTCATATAACAATTTTATAATGGTTATAATGTACTTATTTGTTTTTGTATCATAGAAATTAGTACATTTTCAAAAATGTTCTAATATTGCTACATAAAATGGTAATGACACTGGAGTAATAAATCAAACATTATATTTTAAAGTAAAAATATTACTTGTATTATATTTTGCCTTTTACCTGTTAATTATATATCTTATCTATTTTTAGGTATGACTTTAGCCTTTCCAGCTTCAGTTCATGATTCTCTGATTTGCAGTAAAACATTTCAAATTCTGTACAAAAATGAAGAGGTTGTTTTAAATGATGTTATGATCTTCAAAGTTAAAATGTTGTTGGATGAAAAAAAGGTGAACGTCTCTTCATATATATTTAGATAAGTATTTTTTGTAAAACCTTAAGGCATATTTCTAGCTTTCTATAAATATTCAAAAAATATCTCATTGTAATTTCTCTTCAGATTGAAGAAACACTTGAGGAATTGAATTTTCTCTTATCCTTGGATCTACACTTCACAGATGGAGATTATTCGTAAGTAGGCTAATCAAACAATTAAAAAATATTTAGGTACTCTTGACTGTTGTTAGTATTAGATTCCTCATTTTCATCTTAGAATCCAGCCTATACCCTTCTTGTTTATTTTGAACTACTTCTGTTTTCAGGGGAAGTCTCATAAGAGTGGTTAGGCCTTCCTTTTCTGTGCCCATGCTGATTCCATGAGCTCCAGGTAGCAAAATCAGACAAGTTGAAAAAATCTGAAACAATTTCCTAGACTCCAGAAATTGCACTGTTGATATAATACCACTGCCATGAGGCATTTAAATATAACTGAGCTCTCTTCCACTGTATCACCAGCTAATCTTTCTTGGTGGCATGAGTTGTGCCTTCTTTAGGTGGGACTTTGTTGGTGTTCCGAGAGTTATCAAGACTGATGACTCTTATACTTGGCAGTTATTTCTAGTTCATTAATTTCTAGAGTCCCTGAAGAAGTTTTAGG